CGCACGCACGCACGCACGCACGCACGTACGCACGCACGCACGCACGCACGCACACACGCATGCACACGCACACACACGCATGCACGCACACGCGCAACACAGCCACGCATACACGCACGCACGCACGCATCTACACACACTACCCTCGCAATCTTCTGTATTCATGCTTACAATAACAAAGCGACAACAGAAGCAGAGGGCACGGTCGGGATGTTCACTTGTCACGCGTCGCTTCAGCGCCGAGCGGCGTCACGTAGCGACCCAATTGTCGCGGCTAATTAGCTAATCAACACAAGGATGAGGAAGATGCTGGGAAGCTGCCGATCAAACGCCGTCTGCCCCCTGATGCTACGCACTACACACGCAACAATCTCCACACGTGCGCCGTGGCAATAGTCAATGGGGTTGCCGTAGCGACGGTCAATCAAGTTGCCATAGCGACGGTCGATCAAGTTGCTGTAGCGACGGTCTATCGTGTTGTCTTAGCAACAGACAACGAAGTTGCAGCAGCGACTGTCTTTTTTATTGCCGTAGCAATGGTCGAGCGAGTTGCCGTAGCGATGGACAACCAAGTTGCATCAGTGATTGTCTTCCTTGTTGCCGTAGCGACGGTCGATCGAGTTGCATCAGTAATTGTCTTCCCTGTTGCCGTAGCGACGGCTGACCGAGTTGCATCGGCGATTGTCATTGGCGTCGCCGTAGCGACGATCGAACGTGCTACCATAGCGACAGTCAATCGAGTTGCTGTATAGACAGTCATTTGAGTTGCCATAGCAACGAGTCCGTTGCGCAGCTGTCAGTTCCGGTACACACTGTCTAGCGATGCCGGGTGCTGGGTAAGGGGACTAGCCAACCCTGCCCAGCAAGGCCCCGATCGCACGCCACTCCGAGGGGTCACCGGTTCAAAGGTCATCAGGTCCGAAGGTCAAGGCTCACCGACTCAAGTTTGGTAATGCAAGAGAGCGCAACGTTTATGTCGAGTACCATTTTTATTTTGCTCAAAACATCTGTACACGTGTATATCAGCTATTAAAATGACAGAGGGAGCGCGCGCACACGCACTACAGGTGAAATGAGTAGACACCGCCGGCTAGCGAAAGTTTTCCTATCAACGATAATTAATTCCCATTAAGAAAGGGTTAAGGTTAGAGTCGAATTCCCTAGCGTTCACGTTAGTGTTAGCGTGAGAGGAGGGGTTGAGATTTGTACTTGGAGATCGCGTCTATTAAATAAAAACTCACGTCGAAAGGGCGTAGCAATCACGTAAAATGCAATCTCGCGTGGTGCGGGGGAAACATGCGGCGCACAAGCAAGCGAGATCAGCGTAGATACGGTCATGTTAGCGACCGCCTCTACAGAAAGGCCACCTGTCGATAAAGGCCACTTTTGGCATGTCCCATCGAGTGGCGGTTATGCACAGGATGGACCGAATAGCGCTCTCAAATCTCGACAACAGAAAAAAAGTTTGAGTTGAAGGTAGTTAGGAGCAAAACTTAAGGTTACAGAGAGAGAGGCTGAGTGTTAGGCTTACGCGAAAAGACACGTCGATCGTAGCAAACCTCCGCGGAGCCGGCGACACCTAGTGCAGCACAAAGCGCGCACGAAATTTCACCGAAGCGCGATTTCATTCGTGCGCAGAAAAAAAAACTTCACAGCAAACAGTGGACCTTCGGACCTCAGCGACCGAACCGGTTCCCATTCGCTCCGAGAGATGGCGCCACATGTCGACAGCCCGCGCTACTCTCCGCTGCAGCATGGAGGTTTGTCTTGCGCTGGCGAGTCGCTCGTGACGCCGCACACAGGGGGCGCCGGTGCTGCGCGATGCCGTCATGCTGTAAGAGAGAAAGAGAAGGTCACGTTAAAGGTCACCCTGCCATCGCGCTGTGGGCTTTGCACACCATCTCATACTGTCGTTTCGGCGGTGCGCGTGGGGTGTCAGAGATACCAACAATGTCTCAAGAGGGTCACGTCTGTGCCTCAGAGACATATTTATGTCTCAAAGATACACATCTGCGCCTCAAAGAGTCACATCCGTGTCTCAAATATATACAACTATGTCTCAGAGAGATACACGATCTGTGCGTGAGAGATACACACGCGTGTATCACGCGCACGCACGCACGCACGCATGCAACGCACGCACGCACGCACGCACGCAACGCACGCACGCACGCACGCACGCACGCACGCATGCACACACACACACACACACACACACACACACACCCCTGTCGATCAATCAGTGAGGGGTTCGGGTTCACGCTGATGAATGATGATGGGTGAAGGAATGAATGACGTCTGTTATTGATTGCTATAGTGATGACCCCAACCTGTGCCCACCTCACGCTGGATGTATAGGAGGTGTACAACAGTAAGCCGTAACCGTTCACCGTTGCACTATTTCGGCTCTAGAAAAGGCCTTTTTTGGCATTGTTTTTCGCCGAAATTCGGCACTAGAGTGCAAT